AAATGAGGCGATAATCGGGATGATTGAGCTCCCACTTTGATCCCACTTGTTTAAAAATACAAATTATCTATTTTTAACCTATTATAATATATTTTTTATCTATTTTTAGATCACTCTTTGACTTCCTTTAATATCCAATATTAACGACATACGTATGCAAATTTAATTTATTCCGTTTGACGGGGAAAAAATTTCCCTCTCAAAAGTCTTCGTCTTTTTATCCGTGGTAAATTTCTACGGTGTTATTAAGGGATTCAAAGTAGGCTTGAAACTAAGATCAATAAGTCCCTCCTCCGCGACAGCATTTCATTTCTTCCACTTCCTAATAATCCTTCTTAATGCCTCACTAATCGAAGTAAATGTCACGAATCGACTAATAGATACTTGCTCCCAGCTATAATCTATTGCACGATTGTATATAATAATATTTCGTCCCTTATTACACACAGAATTGTCAAGTTTGTCAAAAATAAAAACGAAATTGATTAATGACAAAGATATATTATCAGCTCGAAAGAAATAAATTGTCTCGAGATGATAAAAAAATAAGAATATATTGGGTTATTCGGAAAATAATTTCTCACAATGTCACCAGTCGAACGTTTATCCAGCCAACTTCGTTCTAAACCGTGGTGTTCGGAAAATAATTTCGTTTCTTCACACGAGTGTCGCTAGTCGAACGTTTATCCAGCCAACTTCGTTCTAAACTGTGGTGTTCGGAAAATAATTTCGTTTCTTCACACGAGTGTCACTAGTCGAACGTTTATTCAACCAACTTCGTTCGGAAAATAATTTCGTTTCTTCACACGAGTGTCGCTAGTCGAACATTTATTCAGCCAACTTCGTTCTAAACCGTGGTGTTCGGAAAGTAATTTCGTTTCTTTACATGAGTGTCACTAGTCGAACGTTTATTCAGCCAACTTCGTTCGGAAAATAATTTCGTTTTTTCACATGAGTGTCGCTAGTCAAACATTTATTCAGCCAACTTCGTTCTAAACTATATCGTATATTTTGTGAATTGGTATTTCATGGTTTATTTATTAAGAAAAACTCGTTCGATTCTGTGCGGTTGCGTTTTTCTCATGTAATAAAAATTAAAAAGAGATACGAGAAAGGAGCATTTTCGGCATATTTTACTTTTTTATTACCGAAAAGAGTGAGAATGCTGTTCAGGCAAGAAAAAAGTTGTGCGAAGTCTACGGAGAAGATGTATTACCGGGACGCCAGTGTCAAAAACTGGTTTTCAAAATTTCGTTCCGACAATTTCGACGTTAATGATGCGCCATGTTCTGGAAGACCAGTCAAAGACAAAATAAAGGCGTCGATCGAAACGAACCGACGAACAACAATTCGAGAAATTGTGACGAGAATAAATTTGTCGACTTCGATTATTCATGATCGCGTGAAACGATTTCGTGTTTCATTGTCACGAAAAAAAGAAAAAAGAAATTACTTTCCAAACAACCTATATTTCATGGGAGAGAGAAGAGCGGAGCGAGGGAGCAGCTGCGACTTTTCCACCCTCGAAAAGATGGAAGCGGAGTTGGAAAAAAGATGGTAGGCAGGGGTTCCGGTACTCGGATACGGAACAGGCAGCGGAAAATTTATCGAGCTCTCGGTGTGACGGGAGTCAAGCTGTGTGCAGCAACACGCGACTGCGCCACTGACGGCCATCGCTTTATGAAAACGATGATTTCTGGGCAAAGATTTCCCGGAGGGGCCGTGCACAATAATTCGCTTCTAATTCAAATCGACCGCCACTCGGTCGATTTCGCTAAAAACTAAAATAAACCTTTCTCTCATCCTCCTCGATTATAAATCTTTTAAACAAACCTTGTCAAACTCGTGATTACGATTCATTTTTATTTAAACGATGAAACGAAAACAAAACAAAACAAATCAAAATTTTCTTTCCCTCGTTCAAAATTACGCTTTTCTATCCTCAAAAAAAAAAAATACCAATTTTTCTCCAGTTTTTGAAAACGATTTTGAAACAATAATTTTTCTTTTCCAGGAAACGTACATACGTTCATCACGGAAATTATCTTATCCCTTAAATCCATCCAAACCCGACATAAATCAGGACCATGACCTAGACAGCGTACGAGCTGTCGCTACGGATCGTCTAGTATGCGCGGGATGAACGATGGAGAGAGAAAAATGAAAAGAAGAAAAAAAGGAGAAGAGAGAGGCTCCTAAAAATAATATCGTAAAACCACGAACCACTATGATGGCTTGTCTACGCGCGTACATACATACATACATACATACATACATATACATACATACACACGCAGGCTTATACGTACGCTTGTACATACATTATGAACACGTTATAGGACGTGGAAGTCTATTTCGAACCGAAAGACATTCCGTATCCAACCGTTCTCGCAACACGCAGCCTTTGATACAGCCACGATATATACGTATATACACGGGAGAGAACTGCATCCCCTTCGATGCCCGCCAGGGATTCTCAGCCGTGTAAACAAGCGTGGGGTGTAAGCGGATCTCCTCCCCTTCGTGGAAAAACACGTGAGTTTACATCACATTCGCAACGAATATTCGATTTTCCATCGAGTTGCACGTCATCCATCCGTGCATTGAAAACAACACTAATTAATCATCGCTTTTTCTTCGAAGTTCTCGAGAGTTATATATAATATAAAAACTTGTCTTCTGATTTCACAGTCGAAATTCAAAGATACTACTGCGATTAATGATAATGGTCTAGAGCAAGAGGAGAAGGATCGAATTCGTTCATATACACGGATATAACGGATTGAGAACCACTGTAAATCGGCGTGCACATCTGGCTACCCTGGAAACGTGGGAGTTGAGAGTAAAGTATAAACTATGGGGTGGCACCCCATCTCGTAGCGGGCTACCCACCACCTCCTCCCGACCGCCATAGACGTAGGTAATATCATCGTCCACGCGAATTGCCAGCCCCGTCTACGCGCATACGCAACTCGTCGTTTACAGTGCACGAAATAGGGTGACAAAGGTACAACTACGTGCTACGGCAGAATACCAATACAAACGTACAAAACGGAGATACTACTGTTGCGTGGTAGTAGTAGTTTAGCCACCACACGTTTGGACGAAATAGAGAACGAGCGAAATGCGCATTTGTGCGAGACAAGGAGAGGGAAGAGAGAGAGAGAGAGAGAGGGAGGGAGGAGGGAGGCTCGTGCGAGAGAGGCTATAAATTTAAAGGGGACACGTAGTACGCAGGGTCGCGTAATACCCCACGGAAGCCAGTTTCCATGGTGGTCCAGATCTCTCGTGGCGGCCAGAGACGTGCAAAGGGTTGCTAAAAGCCATTCACGGGACTAATGGCTAATGGGGTGTTCTTAACACGGTACCGAATCTACTGCGCCGTTTACCGCCCTCCCCCCCCCATACCTTTGTGCCTTCGAGAGCGTATCCATCCCGAATATCACGAAGAAGAAATTCATTTATACTTACTAATAGTTGCTCTATTTACGAAACGAAATTTGGAAAATAGCATGTAATGGCCGGTGTGAACAGATTCGACGCCGGATGGAATAAACGTATATCGATCACGGGGGAGAGAAGAGGAGAGGGGGGAGAAGAAGAAAGGAAAAGCCACTGAAAGATGGTAAGGAAATATAATAAAGATTGCAAATGACCTTTCGTAGAGACAGAGACAGAGAGAGAGAGAGAGAGAGAGAGAGAGAGAGAGAGAGAGAGAGAGAGAGAGAG